TATATATATATTATAATATATAATATATATATATATAAATATGTATGTAATTTTTACACACACACACAACACATACATAATATATATTATAATATATATATATATATATATAAGTATATATACATTATGTATATATGTTATATACATATTATACACACACACACAACACACACACACACACACACACACACACACACCACACACATATATATATATATATATATATACATATATATATACATATACATATAAATATATATATACATATATATTATATATATATATATATATATATATAATATATATATATATATATATATATATATATATTATATATATATATATATATATATATATATATATATATATATATATATATTCATATGCATATACATCCCTGTGTTTGTGTGTGATGAAAGCAAAATATATAAGCAAAATATAAGCCGATGAAGGAATTAAACACGATATAAGTAAAAATTAAAAAAAGTAAAACTCAGAGCCAAAATAATGGCAACAATGAACCAGCCACGAGCAACAACAGAAAAAATAAACACAACCATAATAAACGAAAAGAAAGAGATAAAAAAAAGAGTTGATAAAGAAGAAAAAAGACGAAGGAAAGATGACACAAAGAAAGAGCGGTGATGACGTCAGAACGCCAGGTTAAAAAATGCAATATCTTTTATATGCGATTCGAGGCCTTTGCGAAATATTCCTACGACGCGGTATATGCACAGTTAAAATGCTAATGTTGGATGCCTCTTGAACAAAATAAACGAATAAATACTTACACGATTTTAAATGACGATTGGAACTGTAAGGTAAAATAGGTTATGCGTTGTATGTACATCTTCGTTTTGAATATGGTTGGTAAGGATATTGGGATTTAATAATGAAAGTCTCAGATACACACAATCACGCGCGCACACACACACACACAAACAATCACGCACACATACACACACACACATAATCACACACAATCACACAGTGACACAAAAACACACTATGACATACACACTCATATATCTGTGTACCTTCATCTCTCTCTCTATCTATCTATTTATCTACCTATCTATCTATATTACACATACACATAAGTATATAATAAGTTAGAAATCGGAAATAGGACGAGGTTATGACCTGCGTTCCTGGTAAGGTTAGGGCGCCGACTGTCGTTCTTGTAACCGCCCGTCGAAAATATGGCTGACTGAACATATATCTTTAGCACTGTATTCTTGCAAAAATATGCTCAAATAACTTTAATAACGCATGCTCTGAATCAGATATTTGGTCTACAACAACCACGGCCATACCGTATAGCGACACGTGCTGAGAAAACGTAAGCATTACATTCAGTAGAAAAAAATGTCTACAGAAACAGGTTTGTGCCTGATGACATTGCTCTGACGTCACAACTCGAGAGTTTCACAGGCTTGGCTCTAGCAGTTCACTTTTTAATCTTCTTATTTGTGCATTTCATGTGCGTATGCATGTATGTAGGTACATAAAAAAAAATCAGTCGTAAACAGTGAAATTACATTAGCGAAACCATAAGCGCCGACCACAGCTTGATTATAGGCTTCTCTCTGATGACGTTGCTCTGACGTCACTACAGGCTTGGCTCTCTCACTTCGTTTTCTGATCTTCTTTATATATGCCAATATGGCTTATGTGTCATGCAATATTATTATGCATCACATGTGCTTACGTATGTGTGTATGTATGTTTATATATGTGGGTAAGTGCAGATGAATTCAGTCATAAACAGTAAAATTACACCACATACGGATAAACTCGCGAAATTCGTCCATAACTTTATAATAAAGTTTGTGTCGGATGACGTTTCTCTGACGTCATTCCTCGGGAGTCTCACCGGCTTGGCTAAACTTATTTTCTAATCTTTTTCTTTCTGCCATACAAATATG